CCAGAGCTGCCTCCACATCAAGAGCCCAGCTGAGTCCCTGGCACTGGGACCAGTGGGAGCTGGGGAAGGGGTTGCCCACTCCCAATACAGGGTAGGCAGAGGGAGACCTGGTTCAGAGGGCAGAGACACCGGTACCAGAGCAGCCAAGAGGAGGGGAGAGGAGAGGTGAGCCTTCCAGCTGGACCCTAGATTCAAATCCCATCACACACCTTCTTGAGCCTCAGTTTCCTCACCTGTGAAACGGGTGAACACCACCCACATATCCTGGTACTGCCAGGAAAAGTAAACGTCATCATCCTGAAGGCTTTCGGCCTGACCTAGAGCCAGGGATTGGTCCTGGGACCCCTGCCTCAGGGCCACCTGTGGCTGCAGGAACCAGGCCCCTTTATCCAAACCAGGACAGGACAGGCGGGACCAGTAGAGTGCCCTCTGCCGGGTGCTGGCGCCCACAGTGATCAGAGCAGGATCCCTGCCCTCAGCAGCTGACAGGACAAGTAAGGAGGCACATGAGGAAAATCGTGGTGAGCTGGGCTCAGGCCACAAAGGAAACCCGCCAGAACATGAGGCTCGGGGCCCAATGGCAGGAGGGGCCACTGGAGGGGGGACCTGATGGGGAGACGGCCAAGGCGGGATGCAGCCAGGGGCCGAGGACACAGGGACGGAGCGGGGAGGGCTGGCTACACAAAGCCCTGAGAATGCTCTGGAGGGAGTCAGAGGTCCAGGCAGGACGGGCCTCCCCCTGGCTCCGGTGAAGCTGGCCAGAGGGGGCCTGTCTGGTAGGGCAGCCCTGATGTCCATGTGGGGATCCGGGGAGCTTGGGCCCCTCCCCTACACTATCCTCCCCTGGGTTTGGGTGGGGGACAGGTAGGCAGGGCGAAGGGTGCCACATAGACATGGGAGCATCTGCACTGGGCTGGGGGGAGGGCACTGGGGAGTGATCGTCAGTGGTCCTATGGGGGCAGATTCAGAGGTCATTTTAGCCACTGAGGAAACTGAAGCCAGGAGATGGGGGGAGGAGCTTGACAGGGTCTTGGGGAAAGAGACTGGGTCCAGGGCAGGACCTGCCTCAGAGAGGGGCAGGGTGGAGGGCTCCTCCAGACAGTTCTGGAAGATGGAGCTGCAGGAGCCAGGAGGTCTCTGAGGTCATTACGGAGGTGGTGGGCTCCGGGTGGGACCTCCGTCTCACACACAGACATGCTCCCGGCCCCCACTCACTCCCAGAAACCCCAGTGAGCCCTGAGGTCTCTGAGGGGACAAAGGGGGACAGAGGGGCAGCTGGCGGGACGCAGGGAAGCTGGGGGGCTGTGAACACTGATAGCTCTTTGGTGTGGCCCCTGCTTCCACTGGAGGCCTGCCCAGCTCTGGCTGGAGAAGTGGCCACTAGGGTGGGTGTGGCTCTGACGAACAGGCCAGCCAGGCCAAGGGCCAGGGCCGGCAGGTGTGCCCACTGCCGCCTCAGGCTCCCCTCCAGGTGGCACAAGAGACCACGAGTAGCCTAGGCTGTGGAGTACAGCAGCTCCGGCCCTCACCCCTCCCCAGCTGAGCCCCCAGGAACAGAAGCCCCTTTCATCCGCCCTGTGGGTGGTCCAAGCCAGGCAGCTGGGGGTGAGGTGGGGAGAGAGGGGGCCAGGCTCACTGACAACAGGACCAGCTGTGCCGCGCCCCTGCCCCCGCTTGACCCACCCAGGACAGGCTTGCTGGACACCGGCTTACCCCTGCCCTGGGCCAGTTCCACCACCCACTCCCACTCTAAGCCCCAGAGGGGAACGTCCAGCCTCCGGCAGGACCTCTCACTTGGGCAAGCCTGGGGGGCCAGGAGGATCGGGGGCTGGACAGACAATCTCTGCCCCAGGCCAGATGTTTCTGGGCGGCTCCTCCAGCTCCGGGGGGCCCCCCTTGCACCCCAGCTGCTCCACCAGGGAAGCAGGAAGCCCCAGCCCATGCTCTGGGGGCTGCCCCTCAGATGGTGGGCTGGGTTCACCAATGGAGAGGTGGGGAGCCCTGCCTGGAGTGGGGGGTTCCTGGCCCATCCCTCCACCCAGCCCACACTTGCTGCTGGTCCTGGCCTGCTTACCGTTAGGATAAGACCCCAGCCAAGGGCCCAGCCCTGGCCAGCCACAGGCCGGAGAGTTTGATTTCAGGGCACCTGCCTCCCTGCCCATCCTGGAGGCCGTGGAAGGAGGCAGGACGAGGGTGAGAGCCAGACCTCTGAAGAGCCCGCCCAGGCAGCCCACCGTGCCTGTCGGCCCCCGCCCTCCGGCCATGTCGCGTGCCCCCCGTCCGCCTCCCCCTCCTCCCCCCCGAACACACACGGCAGAGAAACAGGCCCCGGCACGCGGGGAGCCAGCTGGCACCCAGTCAAACTAGCAGCCAGGCACGCTGCCAGGGCAGCCAGCCAGCAAGCGCTGCCACTTGCTCCAGCCCCGCCTGCCACTGGCCTTTACGCTCTTGGAGCTCACAGCCCAAGAGCTCACAGCGAGGCAGCTGCACCACGTGGCCTGTCGGGGAGCGAGGCTGCAGCAGGCAGACGGGCAGAGGGTGGAGGGCAAGGGAAGCCCCACAGGAAGGGGATCCCGAGGTGGGGCAGCTCAGCTGAAGGCAGAGAACCGGAGACGGCAAGGGCGTAAACTGAGGCACGGGCCTGGAAGGTACATGTGGTTGCTAGACACACACTAGCTGCGCTCAGGTGGGACCTGGCAGGTTGTGGGGTGCTCTCTCTTCAAGGACGGCTGCCTCCCCAACACCCGTCTTCAGCCCTGGGTATGCCCTGCTCCCCACCCACCCTGTCTTCCAGAGCCTGGGTGGGTGGCTCAGAGGCCACACCTGGCTTCTCCTTGTTCTGTGTCCACCTACACTTGCCCACCAAGCCCATCGTCCCGACACACCTGCCCTCCCCCACTAGACTGTGGGCACGGCCAGCCCAAGGAGGCACCAGTGGTGTTTCGGAGCTGGGGTGGACAGACAGATGCCCACTAGTCCTCAGGCTGGCTTCAGAGGGAGGAACCTCCTCAGTGAGGCTCAGCAAGGACCCCTCTTCCTGCTCAGGCCAGCCCTGCCTTGAAGGAGCTGCCTCTCCAGGACGCAGGATGGGGCAAGGGCAGGTAGGGGGCCAGCGCAGGCCAGAGTGCCACCCCAACACTAGCCTCCCACCCAGACAGGTGGACTCTTGCAGGACGGGCTGAGGGCGGTGGGGTGACTCCGCCAAGGCAGCCGTTGGCTCAGGGGAAGTGAGTGGCTGGAGGCCGTTGAGGGCACTGTCTGCAGGCCGCCTCCCACCCCACCCTCCCAGCAGCCCCCAGAGGGACGGGGGCAAGTTCTCCCTAGGCCCCAAGGCAGGTGGCGCTGCCCACAAACGGCCCTCCTTGCTGGTGAGGTCCCCAAGTGTGGGAGAGAGGGGAAGGGGAATACGTGTCTCCTGATACAGGGCTGCTGCCACTCCTGGGGCCGACCAGGGGCTGCCGTTGCAAGGAGGGGAAACCAAGTCAGCCAGGCCGGGTGTGCCCGTGCACCTGTGGCTGGGCCAGGGTGGGGCAGCAGCCGTTATTTCGGTTGAGGTTGTCCCACACGGCGGCTGCAGGCCTCCCCCTGCCTGCTCCCCCCATGCTCGGCCACCCTCCTCCCTCTTGCAGACACCCTGGGAGCCAGATGCTCCTGCCAGGGCCGAGAGTTTGCCCGACAGACACAGAACGCAGAAAGGCTGGAAGGGCAGGGGTGCCAGGAGCACGTGGGGCCCACCCACGGCCAGCCTGGGAAGTCCCGAACTGGGGTCTGGCCTCATCTGCACCGGCTCGCCCCTCGGGGAGGCTGCTAAGAGTGCAAGGGCGGGAAGCGGAGGTGGGTCTGGGCCAGGGACCCTGCTCTGCCCACCTGGGTCCTCAGGGCTGATCCGGCCTCCCCTCCGCCGGGGAAGAGAGCTGCTCCTTATCACCTGCCCAACATGTGCGCTCTGCACAGCGCTTAAAGCCCAGATTATTTTAACAACTGTCCCTCACTTGTCACCTGTCCTGTTTGGAAAACAGCCCCTTTCTTATTGCACAAAGAGAGGTTTCTCTTGCTCTCCAGCAACGCCGGGCGCTAATCTCCCTGCCTGGAACATGGGCGGTGGCGGGCGCAGTGTGTGGGTCTGCGTGCTCTGCAAACACAACGCCCGCCGCTCAGCAGTCATTGAGTTACGGCAGTGCCAGTGCCAGGAGCGGAGAGCCCTCTGTGCCCGCTGCCAACTGCAATTACCTCTCCGCGTGCCAGCCGCCGCTGGGCTTAACCCTTCCCACGCCTCGGGGGATCAGATGGCTGAATGGACCAGCAACTATGGGCCGGGGACGTCAGGGCCCAGGGTCACCGCCCACGTCACAGTGCCAGAGCAGACAGCAGGAGCTTGGTGGAGGGTGCGCAGCCCCGGGAAACCTGAGGGGAGCCTCAGAGACCTAAAAGGACTCCAGGGGCCCTCTTGCTAGCCACCTGGCCTGAGAGCGATGCATTTTCACGGGGCACCTACTGTGTGCACAGGGCTGTGTCCCACAGGGAGGCTGGGCCTGGGAGGGACTCTGTTCTAGGCCAGGCCCCAGGGTGGCAGCTGAGTATGTTGACAGCTCCTTCCTTGCCACCCCTCCCTCCCAGCTGGCACATCTGGAGCCCATGTCTTGCTGAGTCGGGGAGGTGGGCGCAGCCCGGCCAGGCCGGCCCAGCTGTGCTCCACATTTCCTCAGCCCCCAGAGCACTCCTGGCTCCACCTCCTTCTCTCCCTCTCTGCCCATCTGTGGTGCACATCTGGCCAGGACCACTGCCTGGCGGGGCCTGCCCACTCTTTCCAACCAATTACCACCTCCCCCATGGAGGCTTCCTCTGCTGGGAGGCAGCCCCTCACCAGCATGCTTGGCAGGGTCGCCAGCTGGCTCTGGCTGGCCACCGCGGGGGAGCCCTTCCCCTCGCCACTGGCCCTGGGCACCACAGTCAGTCCCTCCAGCTGCAGGTGCTGCTGGGAGCCCAGACCCCTGACTTACCTTCGTGGGAGTGGGAGAACCAGATCTGGGAGGTGGCAGGGTGGGAGCTGTGGTAGGCCTGCTCCGAAGGGGACGGGGTGGGGCCACTGGGGTGCGTGGAGGCCGCTGAGCCCAGGCTGCCGGTGAGGAAACTGCCCATGAAAGAGGAGGCCGGAGAGCTCCCCATCAGGCGGCTACTGGCTGTGGACACAGGGGGCAAGAGTGAGTCAGGGCAGCATCCCCCCAAGGAGCCCTTCTCAGGAGTGACTCTCGGGCCCCACTTCATCTTCAAATACCAAGAAGCCCAGGCAGGAGAAGCTGCCCTGACCACTCGAGCCCTGACAGGCACACTCAGGGTCCAGAGGCCCTGACGTCCTCCTGTTACTGCAAAACCCCCAAGAATGGGACCCATTCCCACCTCATCAACCAGGGGCCAGTTTCTGTGCCAAATAAATACTCAGGGCCCATGGCGAGCAAACTGCCCTGTGGGCGGGCCTTCCCCTTGCAGGCAGAGCCCTCAACTCCCACAGGCCAAGGCGGTGGGCAGCTCCACGGCCTCTTAGCCATGGGCAGACCTGACAGAGTGCTTTGCCCACACCTCCCAGAAAGGTCCAGGCTCAGCAGGGCCTCGCCAAGGGCCCTGCCCAGCCCTGTGGGCCCAGCAGTCTCTGCCCACCCCCTGGGTGGCACTAGGGGTGCTGGCCTTTCCCCCCAGGGGTCTTCAACCTTCTCCCCTGGTCCAATTAACTGATTCATCAGACTGGGGGCCCTGTCCCAGGTGAGAAAGAGGAGAAACTGAGGCAGAGGAAGAAAGAAGGATGGGAAGAGCCTGAGGATGAAGCACATGGATCTGCTTTTAAATCCCCCCAGGGTGTCTCCGGGTCAGGCCCTGACCGGCTGGCGTGGAGACGCAGACAGCCATATAAGTCCCTGGACACGGGGCCTTTTCCCAGGCAGCCAGCCTGTGCAGCCTGCCCACCCCAGCTCTCCATGCCCACCAGCCCACCTGTACCCTCCGCCACTGTGTCCTCTTTCTGCCCAAGTCCAGTGGCCAAGGCCAGCCCCAGTGAGCCTCCCTGGTTTCCATGGCGACCAGTGGCTTGCACAGGAAGGACATAGGGTACACAGAGCGCTCTGCGCAGAGCAGCCCCAGGTGCCTGGTGGGTAGTCTGGGGCTGCACTGCTCGCCCCTACCATGGCAGGATGCCCTGGCACCTTGTCACCCCAGTTCCATGGGCAGCGACCCTGGCTTGGCACCATCCCAGGGGTGAGAAGCAGGGAACTGGGGGCTCGCCGCCCCATCAGACTGAGTGTAGGGGCCTGGTAGGGTTTGCAGGGGTTCTGGGGGCCCCGGGAGGCTGCAGGCCCGGCCCAAGGTGAGTCAGGGCAGCTGTTTCCCTGCCCCGCAGGCAGGGGGAATTTGTGAATTTGTGATGTCTCATGCAGCCTGGCCTGGCCGGCCCTGGGAGCTTCCCAGACATGGGTGACTCAGCAGAGAGGCGGCAAGGCCCAGAGCTGGGGAGAGGGAGGGGCTGCCCCGGCTGGCTGTAACCCTGGCAGCTCCCCTCCCCTTGTGTGTGAATGGGACATGTGGACAACGGGGGCCTCTCCTGGGCATGGGCCACAGAGGAAGGGCCTGTGAGCACTGGCCGGGGTCTAGGGTGCGAGCTGACTTCTGCGATGGGTCTCAGACTGCAGGGAGACCCTGAGAGGACCCAGGGGCAGGGGGCGAAGGTGCCCAGGAGCCAGGGACTTCCCGGACCACAGGGCTGGGATTGCCATGGGCCATGGCCAGACCACAGGCAAGTCCAGCCAGGGGAGGGGACTCTGGGCTGGGAAGGGAAGCGTTGGCCTCCTGGGGCCAGGCGGGTGGGAGGGAGGAGCAGGGTGGGAGAGGGAGGGCAGCCTCTGCTGGGCTCCAGGGACCCTGGGGGGGGCATGCCTGTGGGATGAGTGAGGCCTCTTCCTGCCTCACCCAGGCCCACCCCAAGTCCCCCAGGCCTTCCCGCCCCCACACCCTCCCAGGGAAGTCCCTCCCACTCTGCTCCTCCCAGGGACAGTGGGAAGCAATCGAGTCCAAAAGTCGGGTCTGGATAAAGGACTTCTCTAGGAGCTTGGCCTGAGAACCCCGCACCTTGAGCTCTCCCACACTACAGCAGGCGGGGGCGGTGGGCCAGGCCCCAGGCCGGGCAGGAAACACAGCTCCCGCCCCATAGGGCCTTCTGGTCCTCAGATCAGGGAAACCGAGGCTTGGAGGTAGCTCCCTCATGGGGTCTCCCACGCCCAGGGCGCCCTTGCAGGGGCAGCAGGCAACTTCTGAAGACCACCACCCATGCCCCTGAGGGCCACCCACCTGGGGCTGGGCAGGTGGGGAGCAGGCCTGAGGCCTGGCGGGGCATCTGAACCAACTGGACCCCTCAGCTGGTATCTGGGGTGGGGAGGCTTGGGCCATCAGGCCATCATGCCCGCCCCCCACCCCCTTGAGACTGATCCTGGTCTTGGGAGTACCCTGTTCTGACACCATCCCAGAAGGGGGTCCCACTGCACTGGGGCTTTGGAGGGTGCCCTGGTTCTGGCTTCACAGGGCAGTGGACTCACCAATGACAGGCTGTGCTTCCTGCTGTGGCCAGAGACCCCAAGCCTGGGGCCCACTTGGCTCCACACCTGCCTGTCTCCTGACTTGGGGGATTCTCTTGGAGTGCTTCCTTATAGCTGGTTTCTCTGAGTTCATAAGGAAGGGACCCTTGATCCAGAGTGTGAGAAATGAGAGGGGTGGGACAGGGTTCCAGCCGAGCCCCCGTCCCCCACCTCAGTCCTAGGCTCCCCAGGGCCCCCCTTTGCTCCTAGCCCTCAGGGCCGCCCCTGGCCACCTGAACTAACCCAGCTGCCCCTGCTGCTCCGCCTCTCCCAGCCTTCTGCGGTTTGTGGGCCCCCAGGGTCCAGACTCAGGCTGGACGGTCCAGCTGGGGGTCTTCTCCACTCCTTTTTCCTTTCACATTGAAAACAGAAGAGCCTTGTCATGCAAATATTATGTCTTTATACCTTCATTATAAAATGCTCAAGGGATAAGGAAAAGGAACGAAGTAGAGGTCATCGTGACCCACTGCCCTGAGAGCACGGCCACAAGCGTTCCACAGACCACCTTCCGGGCACTCACCCTGAGACAGAGCCACGAGAGTCCTTCACTGCACCCCAATGCCACGCATGGATGTCCTCCACCATGAGGGCACCGTGGGAGACCATGTGAAGACCTAGGAGGCCTCTCCCTCCCAAAACCTTAGCCCACGGCAGCATGTCCTACCAGGGGCTCTCACTTGAGGCTCCCTGACCAGCAGGCCAGCCCTGAGGGCACAGGTGCTGGGTAGGCGCAAAGCCAACACCCTGATACACCCCCTGGCCTGGGCCCCGTGTGTGAGACTCCATGATTCTTGCTCTGAAGGGTTCAATCTCTCCCCCACTGTCCTGGGCTAGAAGTTTGGAAGCAGCCAAAGGTCCTGCAGGCCTTGCCAGGCAGGCACTGCCGTGGTGGGTGTGGGGAGGGGACTGCTGGTTCCCAGAGCCTCCCGACCTCAGCCAGCTCCCAACACCTGGACAGAGCATCCATGCCTCCGTTGTCACCTCCACCTCTGAGAAGCTTGGCGATGCCACTGTGCCTGGCCAGCAGAGATGTGGGCAGACTTGGCTGCCACCTCCCCAGCCCCCACCCGCCAACCAGTAGCCAGGCCCAGACAGAGCCTGAGCAGAGGCGGCCTGGGCCCTGGCCAGGGCTGGAACTGCGCAGCCAAGTCTGGCTGGGAACTGGGCTGGAGGCTTCTTTCCTCCTGGCAAGGTCCTTGCCCACAGAGTGCTGCGGTCACCCGCCTGGGAGGGGACTGTGGGAGCTCTGAGTAGCAGGGAGGGTCAGAGGGGCTCTCAGCTTGAATCCCCCAGGCTGGGAGCCCCCATTCTGGCATTGTCTGCACCAGCACCTCTTGAACCAGGGGCTTTACAAAACCTCATACTAATTTGCCTCACCAGGATCCCAGATGCCAGGCCCACCATGGGGCTGATAAAAGAATGTGGCATTGTTAGTTTGGGCCCCATGGTTCCAAGTGCCCAGCTTGGGGTTTGAATGAGGCCCATCCACTCCAAGGCTGCCCTGTCCCCTCCAGTGTGCACGGTCAAGGTGGCCACTCCCCTGGGTTCCGAGGCAGGCCATTCTGTACTGTGCGTCAGCCCCCCGCCGGCTGCCCCCACTGCCCAACTGGCCCAAGCCAGGGTTTGCAGCCCCAGACACAGGGCTCCAGCCCCAGCTCCAGAGCCACCTCAGCTCTGCCTAGTACACCACGGAGGCCTGGCCCGGGCGCCGGGCTGGCTGAGAAAACCACTCCGGAAGCCAGCATGCCCGGGATGGCTGGTTGACATCCCCCTGGTGGCCCAGCTCCTTAGACACAGCACCCAACCCTGGAGGCCAGTCCATCCCCACGCCCCAAGCCCCAGACAACCTGGACCGAGAGACAGGACGTACCTGGACCTGGCTTCAGCAGCCACTTCCCTCCCAGCTGGACAGAGCTGGGCTGAAATGCCCTGACACCTTGAAAACCTCAAGTGACCACTGGGCCCAGCCTTTGCGCACAGGCCGCAGTGCGGACTAGCTGGCACCAAGTAGGTAGTAGCAAGCTGCACTGGCCACAGCAGAGGTGGCCCTAGATGGCCAGGCAAAACTGAGGGGAATGGGGCCTTCTTCCACCAACCTGTTCTCCAGGCCCACCTGCTGCGGCCGAAATGGTTAGCAGATCCTGGGCAGCCCCGAGGGTACCAACAATGCTCCTGCCCTGGAGCCCAGGTGCTGCTAGGGGAGCCTCCAGGCCAGGGGCTGGTGAGGCCCCCCCACAGGTCTGATGCAGCAACACTGGTGGTCCCCTGCCACACACCCAGAGCTTGAGGATCCAGCACACCTGAGGCCGGCCTGGGGGCCTGGACAGCCAGGAGCCCTCTGTGCCTGTCCATTCCTTCAGCCCCACCTGCCCACCAGCCTCTCCTGGGTTGGGGGCACCGGGAAGACAGGCTCTTCACTGTGACCTCAGGCTGAGGGCAAAGGGGGCAGAAGGAGGAGATGGACAGATGGGACGGAAGGGCCTCAGAGAACCGGCGAGGATGAGCAGGAGCTCAGAGCTGCAGCAGAGCGAGCATTTGTTTTGACTTAAGTGAGCCACAGAGAC